AGTGAAAGCAACGTCTGGACGGGCCGTTCCACGTCTGGTATTTCATTGCCACCTGTACGGACATAAGATACATACATGTACATGTATGAAGAGAGGACCGATCGACTGTGACCGTCTGAGCAGAGCAAAAGAGAGAGAGATCAAAGACAAAAAGGTCACATCGTTGTCGCTTCTGTGGATCGAACACAGTACCTCCAGATACCGCACAGATTGCTTTGAACCGAAGTGGACTTCAGTCTGGCGCTCTCCCAAGTGAGCTAAAGCGACTTGATACCTCATTCAATCTTAACTCTAATTATAAACACAGCAGTCTATTCTAGGCAGAATTCGTTCGCGACGGCAACCTCACACTCGCCAATAGTGGCTGGAAGGCAATGGTATGGTGCAACAGTTGAAAAGTACCACGCGGACCTCCTAGGGTAGTTAATCATCAACGTTGAAACCTTGGGCGGAGCGTTCATTGACATGCTAGAATCAACATTGCGTCTCATCGAATCCGCTTGCTCGTCGTCCATACATGTATACTAGACATCATGGCTTTGACCAACCCTTCAGCAGAAGACGCCCTGCAGCTCTTCAAGGACATCGAAGAGCACTTCCCGACACAGACACTGGGTGAGGAGAGATGGTACATACTCGCCGTAAGCTCAGCCAAGTCGCCAACAGACCACCTCCGCCACTTACTCACAGCCCACGATCAGATATCAGCCATAACCGCAGGCGGCCACCCAGGCTTCGCCAAAGATCTCTACCTCTACCTCATCTCCAAACCCGAATTCGGGACTCCGGAGCAACGGCAAGCACTAATGCGTAGATTGCGGGAATCCCTCGTGAAACTCGTATCGGTGGTTGGCGTCCCGAAACCGCTCGAGGCTGTCTTCAGCATGGGTGAGGTCGAACGTGACGAAGACAAGGACTACTCGTTCTCGCGGTACCTCAGCTTGCCCAACTCCAACGGGAGGACAGTCTTCTGACCAGAGGATCTAACAGTGAACATTGGCAATCCGGCGAAGCGAACCAACAACGAGGCCGAGACTGGCTCGCCCGAATCTACCGGCACAACGATGCCAAAACCGCGGATATGATGGCAGCGCAGAAGGACTTCCGTTCGTCCTTCCGCCTCCTCCCACCCACCTCAAAATCTCAGCTCCAAGCCAACCAGGAGAGCAGTCTCATACTGATGGTCTTGCCACTCCAGGCTGGCTCTCCATAGAAATCACCTACGGCCTCTACCTCTCCGACCACACGATCCTCGACGGCATTGACACGGAGCTCGTCGTGCTCTCCGGCATCATGATGCAGAATCTTGCTCGCGAGACCGGGTGGCACTTACGCGGGACGAGACGGATTGGAGTCAGCTTCGAGGATGTGGAGGTGATTCAGCAGTGTGTAAGTCACCAAGTTCAGCCTGAGTCCCTGGATTCCCGCAGCAGAATTGTGTGTAGTGGTTGATGACTGATTCTTGAGTGATAGATCGAGAAGGTGGCGGCGTTCTGTGGACTGCAGCTGACGAGGGTGCCGCGGGTGAAGGATATAGAGCATGAGGTTGATGAGATGGCTTGACAGGCAATCTTGCCGAGATCAGTCTATGATCTCCAGACTCATTCGCACTGATATGGCCTTGGTATGGCGATAGTATGCCGGCCCTGCATGAAGTTATCCACTCCTCGACTGCGTGACTGCCGTGCAAGACCAGTCCGGAATATATCTCTGCTGGTCATCCGTACTCATTAAGTCAGTCAGCCATGGCACCTATGAGTTCCCAGCGTGCTCCTGGCTCAGGAATTGGTGTATTTCAAGCTGTACATACGACCGGCTACCTGCAGCAGTTGGCCCTTTTCTCCACGTTCGCGTGACCTGGGTATCTGTATGCAATCAACACCCCCACAAAAGGACGCCTTCGCCGATACCGATGAGTATCCCACACAAGGCCGCTTCAGCTCCGATCAACGTCCATAGCCTCCTGCTTCCTCGGCTCATTATCGCCATGACCCTCCACTCCATGCACGCGCTCCGCCTCCCGCTCTTGCAAATCCTGCCAGTCGCTATTCCGCCTGCTCAGCGCACCGCTCGTGCCAGCCTGCCTCAACCCCGGGC